GCACTTCCTAAGATGCTGGTCCATTGACAACAAAACTGTGTAATTCCTGTGTATGTATACATACTGTATCTCACAAAAATGAGTCCCCTACTGCTGTCTCTAAACTTGTACATGGCTACAATTTTTTAATGTTGCAGTTTTATTGCTGACGGGGGATTGAGGGGGGGACTGAGAAAATGCCTCATCCTGCCTGCAGCAGACTGATGACCACTTTCTCCCAGACTGCGTCTGTCAGCCTAGGCACAGCCTGCAGCTCAAGTTAGAAAGCTGAAACAACGGTTTGAAAGGTTGCTATCTTTCCTATCTGAAATGAAACATCACAATTATTAACAGGGTGAGCCTCTCTGGATCAACTGTGGGTTTAGAGTTCTCAGGGTGATTTTTTTTTGTTTTAACTTAGATAGTAATAACACTTTCAAAAGAGAGTTTTGGTGGAAAGACAGATACTAGAAATGTGTCCCTGTATGTCTCCCTTTTTGGACATAGAGGGGGATTTACTAAAATTCAAGCATGCCAAATCTGGTGCAGCTCTTCATAAAAACCAATCACCTTCCAGGTTTTATTATCAAAGCTTAACTGAAGAAGCTGAAGTTAGAAGCTGATTGGCTACCATGCATAGCTGCACCAGTTTTAGTAAAACTCCCCCAGAGTATTAATGGCCTTCTAATAATCCTAAACAATGGTGTGAAAATGTCTTCTAAGTGTTCAGGGACTATCACACCACCTCTAGGTGTGACATTTTCTATATAGGGTTTATGCAGAGCAATGTGGTTGCCCTTAGGAATAACTTTTACTTTTACTTAAACTTTTATTTAAGGGGGAGCTACAGTCAAAGCTGAAAAAAAATAAAAGTCAGCAGCTACAAATACTGCAGCTGTTGACGTTAAAAAAAAAACAGCCACTCACTTGTCCCAAGATCCAGTGGTGTACTCACTGTCCTCGCACCCCGGCACCAGCATCTCAAGTGGGGGCACACAGCTGTGACAGCTTGTGGCTTCACAGCCAGGTGCCCACTGCGCATGCGTGAGTAGCGCTGCACATTGTGAATGATCCTGTAGTCTTCTGGGACCTGTCATTTGTCCTAGAAGACTATAGGAGGTGGGGGAGAGGACAACTTCCGCCTTCGACCGCCTAGGTGACCACAGAGGAAGTGGGAGCGGGTATCTGTCAAAATTGGGTACCCGCTCCCCAAAGGTGCCAGTTCCGCACGGGGAGCAGGTAACCAGTACTTAAAACTTCCCCTTTTGGGTGGACCTCCGCTTTGGTGCATTTTCAATTGAGATCACTATAAACACAAAAAAATGTATTGATGTGTGTTTTTAACTATTAAAAAAAACAAAAAACAAAAGTGAAACAAAAACAAACAGGTAAAACCAATGTTGAAATACATACTGTATATGGCGGGTGTCGGCAACCCGCGGCTCCAGAGCCGCATGCGGCTCTTTTTCACCTTGGCTGCGGCTCCGGAGCACACTGCCCACCAGGTGACAGGCAATAGGGCAGCAATGGGCAAACTACGGCCTGGCGGACCTTTTAATCCGGCCCGCGGAGCTAGGCTCCCCGCTAGGCTCCTCTCACAGTCCGCAAAGGTAAGTGAATTGACACAGGGGGGACTTGGGGACTTAATATGGGGGCTGAATTACTATAGGGGGGATGAATTACTATAATGGGGGATGAATTACTATATGGGGGATGAATTACTATGGGGGATGAATTACTATATGGGGGATGAATTACTATATGGGGGATGAATTACTATGGGGGATGAATTACTATATGGGGGATGTATTTTCAGTTTTAAAAATGTGGCTCTCAAAATAAATTTCAATCGTGGTTTTGGCGAGATTTGGCTCAGTTGAAAAAAAAAAAGGTTGCCCACCACTGACCTAAGGCTATGATTGTGATTATGACGATACACTGTGGCCCTGATTAACCCTTTGCTTACTGGGCCCTTAAACCTCCTTCATGACCAGAGCGCTTTTTGCAATATATGCAGTGTCGGATTTGTTTTAAATGTTGCAATGGTTTTGCGGCTCCCAGTCTTTTTTTCCCTCTCGGAAACGGGTCCAAGTGGCTCTTTATGTCTTAAAGGTTGCAGACCCCTGGTATATGGGAACTGTATTTACAGTGAGGTTTTTTTTTATGTGCATTGATGATGCACAATGGTGTACCAGCATGTGTTTCAACATGTTACAAAGCACATTGACTTGCTGTCTGATGCATTTTCTTTATTTCCTATGATAAACACATCACACAAACATTGTGTGTGTTTCCAGAATTACCGTGGACTTCCACTTTAAGCTGCATTTTCAGATATGACATGAGTCACACAGAATTGCATGACAATGGAAATCACATCAATGCAACTCAGCACAGTGAGATTTTGGAAAAGGTTCCTGTACTACTTTGGTGCAATTCCGGTGTAAGTTTGGCCCCATAAAATATATAAACCTCATCAAAGTTGCATCTAAGTTGCACTACATAATTGCATTGAAAGTGCAGCACAGTGGCTAAGTGATTAGCATTTCCGTCTGGCAGCACTAGGGTTGTTGGTTCAAATCCCATCCACAGCACTACCTGCCTGGAGTTTGCATGTTCTCCCTGTGCCTGTGTGGGTTTCCTCTGGGCGCTCCGCTTTCCTCCCACACTCCAAAGACATTCTGGTAGGTTAATTGGCTCCTGTCTAAAATTGGCCCTAGTATGTATAAATGTGCATTAGGGACCTTAGATTGTAAGCTCCTTGAGGGCAAGGACTGGTGTGAATGTACAATATATATGTAAAGAGCTGCGTAACTTGACAGCGCTATATATGTGCCTGTAGTAAATAATACATAAATAAAAATTCATGGTGCTGTGGCACTGTGTGGCTCTGTATGAGTTTGAAAAAGAGTCAGGGACTTTTTTCCGCATTTTTCCTACACGTGATGTACATCCACCCATCAGTACACCTGTGCATTCTAAATTTCCCTGCTAACCCCTGCACCCCAAACCTCCCTCATCATCTCCACTCTACCCCCACCTTAACTCTTCAGGCCTCCTCTGCTCATATTTGCACCCACCTTCCTTACCTCTGTACATCCCCTCTTTGCTCACCTGTGCACCCCAAATTGTAATTCCTTTTCTGCCTACCTCTGTACAACACCCCCACACACACACACACTTTGCTTACCTTTGCAGAACAGGCTGATGTGACCACAGTGACCACAGTTGCAGGCTGGACTTTCAAGCATGCCTGTTCACCTCCCCACTGGACAGCATTCAGCAGAGATGATGGTGGCTGGAACCTCAGGGGGAATACTATACAGTAAAAATGAATGCCCTCCACTATTTACTTAGGAATGCCACATTGTCACCACTATTTACATATGAATGCCACTGCTATTTACATATGAATTCTGGTTATTTACATGTGAATGCTGACATGGTCTGCACAGGTGACTCATCTGTACATGGCAATAGCCCAAACCTGGGCAGCATAAGTGACAGCACTTCACACTGAGATATCAGGACACAGCCAAGGGCAAAGACTTCAAGGGACAAGGGAATGTAAACCAGGACAGTTGGCAAGTATAGGGTAGTTGCTTTGGGCCCCTCAACACTGACTGGGCCCAGGGCAGCTGCCCCTTTTGCCCCTCCCTAAAGACGGCCTGGAACTGCCAGATGTGCACAGCACAGTACAAAAAGCTAAAACCAAAGCTGAAATACATACTGTATATAGGAACTGTATTTCCAAAAGTTTTTGTAATTCTGTACAGGCAACTGTTTGATCCAGGCATTCCTGCCAGACAGCACAACTAGATTCTCAACCTCCTATTGCAACAACCCCCCCCCCCCATTCTGCTCTCCGCTCCTGTAAGTGTGTTCAACATCACCATGAGTGTACTCAACAAAGCCTGATAGGCTCCTTGCACTGGTTCTGCTTCCCTGTATAAGCACTGCTGTAGGAAGCTACAGGCGGAGAGCAAACCAAATTCAAGTATTTACACTAGTTCTATTCAAAATTGTTTTAAAAATAAAAAAATACTGCAATAATTGTATATCTGAGTTTAAAATGCATGCTAAACCCAATGTACAAAGATGGGTTTTTTCAACCTGTGTCTTATTTGGTTGTACATTATAAATATCTATGTTCAATTTGTTTATTAAGAAGAATAAGGTAGTACAGGACACAAAATCTAAATGAAATGTACACCAAATAAATACAGTGGTAGCCATCAAGGAATAACATAAAAATCCTTCAGGGCAAGGAATATACTCACAATATAAATAGGCCTGGACAGATTGGTGCTGCGTGCCTACAGGGCTCAAATACAATAAGAGCAAACACAGGGCTCAAATACAAAAGTCCAATTGTAAAAAAGTAAGAATAACCCAGTAAGAACAATAAAAAAAACTAAAAAATAAATTGAATGAGGCTACTGTGGATGAGCTCAAGGTAGGGCGGTTGCTCATGCCACCTAACACACCGTAGTGTGGAGGGTTTATATATTGTGAGTATCAATATGACATAAATTGAAATCTATACAACTGTATTTCCTTTAAGAAGCATTCCAATGTGCCTATACCATTTTCCTTGGAAATAAATGTCTAAAGCTGCAAGTTGGCTTTTTTGGTACTGTTTAATAACTCAAAGATGAGATGAAAATATCCATTCCTATGTCTTCATCCATTCTACCATGCACAAGACAACTGTGATGTTCTGTATTTGTACATATAGTAAGTCAGAAGACTTGGTGGCAGAGAAGCCTGGGCCCTTTAAAGTTAGACAAGAAATGTCAACATTTCAGGAATTCTGAGAAAATCTTGTGTCCTGTTTCCTATGAAGGAAAATAAACCTGCTGCTTCTTGTTTGATGTGAAAGGAGGAGGAATGAAGGGGAGGTGACTTTCTTTCTCCATCACAGGGCTGTATTAGATCCTGACATTTCCAATACATTGTTCAGAAAGGCTTGTCTCATCGTGGCTATGATGTTCATTTACCCTCTTTCTTTATTTTCACAGTAGACCAGCTCATGGCTGTACGACAATCCCCAGACTGGCCCTGGAGTTAAAGCAAATCATTCACTGCACATCCCATTCCAAGCTGCCCCAAGTGACTCCCATACGGGTGATGATGCCTTTAGGACAGCTTATCAAAGGAGCCAGCTTGGATGAACTCATACAGATGTGTATTCAAACTTTTGGTAAGTTACCATGACTTTCTGTCATCTCCTTTTATCTTTTGCAAAATGACAAGCAACAGAAAAGTGAAACACCATAATCAATTATCTTCCGCATGGTGATCCTGTTTTTTTTTTCCAAGTAGGGTCTGAAAAAAACAGGATTCAAATGTATTATTATTAGGATGTGTATCGTCATATTCTCATAAAAATGTATTGCAAAGTAATAACTTGTGATGGTGTTAAATACAGTTTAATCACAACCTGTGCTAGAAAATGGCATTTGGAATGTTGCAGGCTGTTGCAGTTAACACAAACTTCACTTCCTCTATTTTCTTTCTTAATGAAGCCAGTAAAATGTTTAGAACTCTCATGAATATTGTACAATACAAGATCATTACTCCCTGTTTTCATTTGGAGCTGCACACTTTTATTTTTGGGTTTTTGTATTCTATTTGGGTTGTATTATGTCCCTCACAATTTCTTTTGTTTTCTCTTCCTGAACTCTGTAAAGACATTGATTGTCCATTTCTAAAAATACATGAGACAGTCAAAGGTCTGGGGGGGGGGGGGGTTAAGCAGCAGTGGGTTACCATAAACTGTACTAGAGCAAATGCTATAGCCAGCTGGCCTTTCCATTGTGCTGGTTTAATAGACGTGTTGTATTTACAGCTGTAAAGAGCAATTGTTGGAAAATGTTTTGCCTGCATTAATAACATATTAAACAATGTAATGGTTATATTGGCCTGCTTTCTGATATACATTTTGGAAGTTCCATGTTATTTATAAGAAACATTTCCATGCAGAACAAGGCCAATATTGCTTTATTAGCAGAGATAGTTAGGAAATCTGTTGACATTTTTCAACCCTCCCATACTCTAATACAAATGACATTTCCTGCTGATATGAGTATTTGCATGGATCAAACAAGAATATTTTCCATGTATGATGGCTTAGTTGGCATGAGACACTCTCCAGTGCAATGTCACAAGAGTGTATTTGATATTTATTTATTAAACCAGAAAAATATTTTTTGTTACCGGGTGGTATAGAACTCTTGATAGCTCTGCTAGTGTTTTCTATTTACTGAGCTGGCCATTCATAGCCCTGTTTTTTTTACTGTTTGTTGAGTGTTGACTTGAAGCAGTGCTGAAGCCTGAATAGAACCTAGATAACATTATCCCAAGAGATAAGAGTCATGTCTGGCTGGAGAGATTGCCATGGAGGATGTGATGGGATTTGTGGAGCACTGATAATGCCCATTCCAGATATCAGTAGTGTAGTCAAGTCTACTTCCTTGACACTAACTAGCCATTACAAAGTTAGTCTGGCTGAAAAAAGACAAAAGTCCATCCAGTTCAATTGCTTTGGATTCTGCCAATTTTTTATAAGTTAAAGTAGAACTATAGGCAAAACTTTTTTTTTTTTCATTGTCAGATTTTGTTTCACCATCTGTGTCCTATTGCAGAGATTTCTCTTCACTTTCTGTCCCAAAGCCAAACAGGAAGTGAGAGGAAATCCCTGTAAATTAAGGAAATTTCTTGGGGACCCCCAGGTCACCAGAACCTGTGTCCCCATTGGAAGATTTCCTCTCTATTACTTTACTGGGGACAACCCAAAATTTGGGTTTTTTCTTTTACTTTCACTTTCAATGATAATGGTAAACGGGACAAAGAGAGAGGGTGAATACACCTAATGGGGACACAGACAACAATCAAAACTGACAAGTATTCTAATCCAGCTCCACTCTTTCCAAAACAAAAAAAAAAAAGTTTTGCCTTTAGTTATACTTTAAGCTGAAATCATCTAATTATATTAAAATGTAACATTGGTTTGCGTATTCTTCACAGCACAGCACTGAGTCAGGGCTTGAGCGCCACCAAAAAAGACAGGTTCTATGGTATCTGGTACATGATATCTTATATCTCAGTCCCCTTATACGTAGGACAAGTGACCCTCTAGGATTGTTTCTTCTTTTGAAAAGAAATCCCTAGTTAAATGCACAAGAAGGCTTCTGCAAGCCATACATGATTAAAAAATGAACCGATTTCCTCATCCACACATTCATTGTGGATGGGGGAATCCTTCCAGCTGAGCCATTGTACTATGCTGGCTGGGAGTGGGATAGCAGAATACAATGATAAGTATTTCTAGCTATGGAGGTATTGATCATTTAGGAAAAAACCCAACAGGCTGGTTGAACACAAGTAAATTGATAGATCGACTTGTGTACAACCAGCAGGCCATACATGGATCGAAATGTGTCTGCTCCCCGCTGAGCAGGCTGAATTTCTATCCATGTATGGCCGGCTTAAAGTGGTTCTAAAGGCAGAAAATATTTTTTTACCTTAGTACATTCTGTGCATTAAGGTAAAAAAAAGCTTCTGCATGCAGCTTCCCTCCCAGCCCCACCTAAATACTTACCTGAGCCCAATCTCGATCCAACGATGTGCAGAAGAGCAGAGGTTCTATCCAGTCTTTCCCTCCTCATTGACTCAGAGACATCAGCAGGAGACAATGGCTTCTGCTGCTGTCAATCACAGACAGAGAGGAGGGTTTGGGGGCAGGGCTGAGCCCCACTCTGTGTGTCAATGGACACAAAGAGCTGGCTCAGAAGCGAGCATGCACAAGTGCCCCCATAGCAAGCAGCTTGCTATGGGGGCACTCGGTGGGAGGGAGGGAGCTCAGAGCACTGGTGGAGGAGGATAGGGGGGAAAAAAAACATTGTTCAGAGCAGGTAAGTATGACATGTTTGTTATTTAAATAAAAAATGTATTCTTTACAATCACTTTAAATGTACTGAACTAAAACCACAGGAGACCAGGATCCCAAACAAAACTAAGAACTTTTACCTCAGACCTAATTATTATATTTTCCTCCAAATTCTAAACATTCAGTATATGGTCTTGATGGTATTTGTACTACTCTGTTAACAGATGTTTTACACACATCTTTTTAGATATGAAATTTTCACAAACTCATTTTTTTATTGGCATAGACTTATTAAAACACTCTAGGCAAACATAAAAGACAGAAATTAATTCAGCTCTTCAATTATGAATACATCATTAATGTATTTTTTAAAATGCAAATGGTGTAAATACCTGAAATTAACCTGGTATTAGCCTTTGTATTCCCTGTACAGCAGGACTGGAGGGTGAGTGGAAGAAGTAGGACAAGATGCCAATCAGTTTATGTGCTGACAAGAAGCATACTAATAGTAGGAGAGAGCAAAGTGACAGATAAATGAGCTGATCACTGTGCTGCTTCTCTGTTCACTGTCCAGTCATATGCTGGGGTGGGTCCAGGATGACCTGGGATTAGAGGAAGTGGGTTGAATGATGCTGGTGATAAGAGTTAAGACATTTAGCAGCAGAAAAAGAACTGTGGGTAAAGGCTCTGGATTGCTGATGGGTATTTCAGCAAAATATGGTACTGTTGTTACCAGGGGCGGACTGACAACTCATGGGGCCCCCAGGCAATAGGGGTTCATGGGGCCCCTGTGTCCTTGCCCAAACTCAAAAAAGCCTATGAAAAAGGTACCAGGGGCATCTCATGGGGCCCCCTACTGACCCTGGGCCTTTGGGCAGTGCCCTAGTTTCCAAATGGTCAGTCCGTCCCTGGTTGTTACCTCTTTTAATGGGCTATCATTTTTTACCTTTTTTAGGCTGCAATTCTGATTAAATGACTTCTGGTTCAAGAAGCCAGAGGTCCTTCTTTCAGTAAATCAAAATATTCCAACAATCTAAGGATCTCTATACACCTACCTAGGCCCATGACGTTATTGACTGCATAGACCAAGTGTGAATTATAGTCAATCACTTCCTATATCTGTGTACATTCAGTGGGGTGAAGTGGACTGCACCATCCCTACACCATTTCCTATCCTCCTTTTGCCCCCCTTATACTGTCTTCTCTTTCTGGTATTTCCCTTTCCTCCTCTCCTCCCCCCTTCATAGACATTATCCACCTTCCATCTCTTACACAATGAACTTGCTACAGGAACTTACCTGATTTCCTCAGACACTAAAGCTGGCCATACTCATATAGATTTTTTTCATTCAGCCTGGTGTTGCAGGCTCTACAGCATGGATGGATGAATCTCCTGCTTTGGCTATTGTATTTTGACAGTCAGCCCTCGCCTAGTCGAGGTTGACATCATTTGGCCTTTTCAGTTGATCCAGAGAAAGCGGAGTATCCCAAATCCAGTGAGAGTACACTCCTGTTGAGTGCTGAAGCAAGAGTGATATCAATGGCCTGCTCATGGGATCCTGAAAGAGGTAAGTATCCCAAATGCAGTGAGAATACGTTTCTGCACAATGCTGAATGTCCTCCTGATGAGATTTTGGATCTTCAGCTTTCCCACCCTGAGGGAATTGGATAGGGTGGAGTAGGGTTATTTTCCAATATAAACCAGCGCAAAACACAAATGTTAAAGTAATAAGTGAATATAAAATTATTATTTTATATATAATCTTTAAAATCCAGTGATAAATGTAAGTGACCACAAACCCGTGACATAAAATCAAAAGTCCAGTGATCCCTAAGAAAACTTTCTAAAAAAATAAACTTCAGTGCTTCAAATAATTCTTCCACCATCCACCAGTGCCGAAACCAACATAAACCGCACTCACCAGATAATGGTGAGTAAAACACCTTTCAGGATTATTTAGGGCTCCTGGACCCCCTTTTGAGGACTCCTCCATTTTCCACCTCAGAACTATGGGTATTTCTCCACTCGTCTCCTCGCCAAATCACCAAGATCCAAAAAGGAAAAAAAGACTAATAAAAAGGAAAGGAAAAAAAAGACTTGAGTCTTGAGAACGCCCTGTGGGTGGGGCGAAACGCGTTGACGTACTTCCGGTTGGTCTCCCGAGCGTCCGACGTCATTTCCGGTGAGTGGAACGCACGCCGAGGGATGCGTTCCAGGCGGCCATTTTGACTAGTGGAGGAAGTTTGTTCTTTATGGAGGCTGTCATCCTGCTGTATACAAGGCTGTGAGTTCCCAGGAGCTGTGGAAATTC